CTAATTAGTGATTAGATAATTGTAGAATGTTGAAAAACACTGTTAGGTATAGGATGCCCTATCAAAGATTAGAAAGATATTGACTATTGAGTACAAGATAGTAGATACAATTATCTGTTTAATACGGAACAAATGTCCAAAACATTGCGTCAATGGAAATAATGAGATGACATAATATCCACTTAACAAGATAGAAGTCTTTAGATTATAATATAAGCATTAGGCGATTTCGTTTTATAGAAATGAGTAATAAACTGTTATCAGGAGCGATTAGGAATATTTCTTTTAAAAAGTTTTCTGGGAACTAGAAATTTGAATGTCGTGTCTCCGCACACTTAAAGCATCATAGCGTAACGCTGTAACACGTGTAATCCCGCCCTTGACTTATTGTGAACGTAATTTATTTAGCCAGAGCTAATTAGCACACAATGTTCGCCCGAATCAATACAAAACAACAGAATCAACATACAAAGGAAAATACTTAGTAACAATATTATGTGAGCGTGTCCAGTAATCAATAAAAAGAAAAAACATACATAACATAGTAATGCCAGTTTAAATGTAAAAATATATTTAATTTCATAGGATATAAATTTGGCAATTTTTGTCCGTTACTGAAACAACAAACATCAAAAGAAGTATGACAAATCTTAAATATAAACTTCTCACTGTTTCCTTTAATTGCAGCCTTAACTTACATCTTAATTATATATATATCTATTTAGAAAGCGAAGACTGCGTATACACAGACACAGACAGGTACAGCTAATTTTGGTCAATGTTAATCGGCATAAGAAAGCATAATCGATCAAACCTTTAAGATTTTTCGTTTTTTTGCAATCAATTTTGTAGCTTTGGCTTAGTTTACTAGTTTCGATATTAAAAGACAATTTATCACACTTCATCCTTCTAATGACAAGCGTACAATAACGATGTAAAATTCGACAATGTAAGAATGACCACCTCGCAAACACCACTGAAACTACCGGATCCCTTGGGAGCGTCCTCGGTCCTTACAGGACACACAAGCAGAGACACGAAAATATAAAAGTATTTACAAACATCTGTTAGTTTGCAATTTTTAAGTTGAAAATTTAATATATATTCTATCTCATTGTTAAACGATTATTATAGCAATATATTGCCATTCTTGAGCCACAAATATATTTTCCTTAATTGATATATATGAACGATAGAAAAAATGTAAGTAATGTCATATTTGATTGTTCGTTAAAAACCTAAAAAAAATCTATTTATTCAAAATAAAGCATTTGTTACGTTGTCTTTTGAACTCCTGAGAAACCTAATGTCAAATAATCTTTAGTTTGTCTATAATTATAATTACTATTTTTTTAGAATTAAAATTGTCACCAACTGTGGTGACAAAATTCTATTGTTATAACAAAGATTATAAACTTTTGTATTATGTTTTAATGACATTTATGTTTCCATACCAATTCAAGTTTCTACTGATTTATAAAATAGATGAAATGTTTTCTCTGAAGAAACAGATATTAATTATTTATATTATATTATGTTCATTTGTGGAAAATAGAGTCGTGCCTGTGTACTTTATGCGTGTTTGCAATTTTCGTGAGGCCCTGACTTTATTCTGGGTATAATTTAGGTCGCTGACATTAAACACATAGGTATAGCTCAGCTCACCTCTGGTGAACTGATAGTAATATTAAGCAAAAACGATTATATAGCTATACATATTACGGTATTCTTTTGGTATGGTATATTGTGTGTTCTGTGCCCGTAATATATGACTTCAATCAATTCCCGCTGGGTCTTAGGCGCATAGTGCTTAAACGTTATTTGGCCTGGTATTGTGACTTCCATCAAGTAAACCGCATAAGCTAAGATGCATCTCAAGTGACGCCGCGGGACACAACTAGTAAAAGCGTGTACAGAAGTAAAGCGGATGAGGGATGATGATTAACGACGGGACCTACTGACAGCTGGCATTGTCGCCGGCCATCCGACGGTGCACTGTGGTCAGGTGCCAAAGAGTTACAGAAATGGTGCAAGTCTCGAGTGACCGCGGCTCTGTACGCTGTACGTCAATATCCTAAGTAGTGTTGAATTTATATCTTTGAACAATGATCATAATTAAATTGTCTACAAATAATATCATGTATTTACGATAACGAATTGATTTATTCTACCTACATATATGTCTTTGGGACGCAAATATCACTCGTCAGTGGGACGTGCACCTTTCATTTACTTAATATTATGAAAAATGTGGTAGATTATAAAATATCACCGATTATTAAAAATAACGCTTTCGCCCGTGAATTAAATCTTAAACGAATTTTAACGAATAACGCTTGAATGGGGTGGACCTGACGATTTCAGTGGCTCAGCGCTACTCAATTATTATCACAATAGCTACATACGAATACATTGATCGATTATTTTACTTATAAAGGTAGTTCGGTTATTAAACAAGTCGAACCTTTGAAGCGAGGAGATCAATACCTAAGGGTTGTTTCGGCTACTCACACCAAATACACGTGAATGAATGATGCGATCGTATAACAAATTTTGCCGTAAGTGCTGGGGGTGGCAATTCGATCTATTCAGGAGCAGGCAAAGCACGTTCAAAGGACAACTATTTTCTCAGTTGTCTCGTATGAATTAACATATTGTGTTTTTTTAGATTTCAACTCATTTTTTATTAATTACGTCTATAAATCATTTGTCACTTATTCAGTTATTTGTATAGATAGGAAAATTTATAGTTGTACAGTGTGTCAGAGTTACTTAACTTAAAAATACTTATTACGCAAGTTTTAGTTACATATAGTGTATTTTACTTGGCATTTTTGGTAAACAAACACAATTTACATGATGGATCATATATAAAACTAATGAACTACCTTCATGCTAAAATTAAAATTTCTTCGGTTTGACATTTACATAAGGCTGGGACGTCGTGGCCTTTTGCCAAGTTAGAACTAATGCAGTCTGTGAACGTAATCTACGAATTTAATAAAATAAATAAGTGAAGCTGTGCTTCAGTGCCCCCTTTCTTTTATTTGCGTCAAAGGGTATCTGCTCATAAGCCATCTCTTACCAGCATTTCATAATAATTACTGTATTGTTAAATGTGCACTCTATCTCAAAGAGGAATAGGTAATCCAATCGATTAATGTTTGACGTCAATGGAGCCGTTATCGAGGGCGATATCTCGCAAAGAACGAGTCGTATCTTTAATGAATCATAATATTTTCGAAAATATTACAAACTCATAATCTGAATAGATAAACGATATGCGAATGTGCAAATACGAATTAGAGCCTTATCGTCGTCGAAAACACGATGTTTGCACGTTAAGCCGCTGTTTACACTTTCGCCTGGATTTCAAATATTTCAGATACAAGTCACGTATTCAATAGGAGCGGAATTAATTTGTCTATCTGAACATATTATTATTTATGGGTGCTAATACGCAAATGGCTATCGGAAGCGTTTCACGTCCTTACGTAAGGATGAAACTTCCAAGTTATTCGAGTACTCCTTATAATTATGTATCAATATGGAATAGAAAATGATAAAAAAGGAATGATTAAATTTGTTTTTTCTTTGCAAATAGGTGGTAGTATCGCATCGAAAGTAATTTCCGTTTGATGGAAAATAAATTGCCCGTGCACAAAGCGATGAGCCGGATTTCCTCTATTATTCGCGAAAAATTCATCAAAGTATTAATGAAGGAAATGTCACTTGTAAATCGATGAAGAGTCAACAAAAAATCAATGAAATTTCTTTATGAACGAAGAATCGATTTATATTTCAATTAAACTTTTTAATGTTTCATTAATGAATAGGTAATTGTTACAAAATAACTATTACACAATTACAATATATATTCTAATTTATAATATCACTTTTATCTTTACACAAAATAATTAATTATCGCATGTATCGCAAACGATCGAAACGTTGTGGGTATGAGAAAAATACATACATTTCATATTCCAAACAAATAGATTTAGTGCCAAAATGGTAAGAAAATCAAATAAGTATGAATAAAATAAGATAATCATATCTGGTTTTTGTTATATAGAACCTTTAACTAATTATATTATGAAATTATTAATTTCTCTAGCATTGCTAACTATGACATGAATAGATGTAAAACTTAACTTTAATAAGTATCTACATTTATTACTTAAAAAACAATTGCCCGTCCATTGTATTATTAGTTGTTCCATACTATTTCAAAGAATTACTCCCGAGTGAAAGATTTCTAGCCGTAGCCGTGTATAACAGTAGTTCTTTAAAGAGAAATCCTTTCGCCTAACATCTAAGCATCTAAGAGAAATCTGTAGCTCAGGCGTTAATCTTCCAAAATTATTTTAATACTAAAAGGTCTCAGTTTATTTAAAAGGCTCTAAGAAGTTATTAATTTTAAATCTCTGTTTCAAACTCAAATAAATGTCAATTTGCAATGTAACATAATTAAGGCCATTATTTGCCTACCTTTGTTTGCTCTACGTGCAAGTATCTTAATAAAATTTAGGTAGGATTATTTCTTAGACCGATTAGAGATAAGCTGCTTCTATTAGGATTACACTGGCAATAACTGTTGACAAGATTTTATTTGAAGAGATTTTAGTGTTTTATATGTCGTTTAGTCGTTTTATACTGGTAGGTGCGTGGCACCAATAGCGACATACATTCGCTATTGCAGCGAGCGGTGGCGCGTAGGCCTAAACGGTCCACAGCAAGGTATCGGCGCCTCCGATGCTAGAGGGTTCGCAATAAAAGCTAGTTTACGGTGAATAACTCTCGTTTATTACATCTCTCACTTAAAACTAATCATTAAATAAATATACACTTTGGAATATGTACAAGGGACGAAGCGGAATGCCACGGCGACAGTCGACGACGTATTGCAGAGGTTACCTTACAACTAATTCCACTGGTGCCATTAAATCTAGGATCACAGATATTCAACACTCGCGTGTCCGGCCTCTCTTGAGATTGCGTTACTGCCTCGTCAGCACCGTGACGGGCTTGAAGATGTGCGGCGTCAGGGGGTGGTGCGACGGGGACGGGAGCTCCGGGCTGGAGGCGCCGGAGTTCGTGGGCGAATGAGACATTATCGGGGGCGACGGGGGCAACAGGGGGGACGTTTGAGACATCATTTGCGGGTTAATTGAACCCTGAAGCAGCGGCGACTGGCCCAAGAACGGTCCCGACGGAAGGCGCTCGTACAGCGCGGAGGAGTACGGCAGACTCGAGTAGTTAATATCGTTTCTGAAAGCGGGGTGCACGGCGCTTGGGGCGACGGGAGGCGTCTTCATCTGCATCGGCGCGTACCGTTGATACAGCAGTTGCGAATACAGCCCGACCAGTTGAGAATATGCGGCCGGGGGGTAACCTCCGGGTAGCGGTCCTCCGGGGAACAGTGGCCGCTTGAAGCAGGCGAGTCGCGAGCGCCCGTTGAGCGCGGATCGCCGACGGAGTTTCCCGGTCGTGCCTCCGATGAACACGTCCTCGGCCGACGCGTCCAGCATCCAGTAGTTGCCCTTACCGGGGTCGTCGTAGTGGCGCGGCACTTTCACGAAGCACTTGTTCAGGCTGAGGTTGTGTCGGATTGAGTTCTGCCAACCCTGTCTGTTCTCCCTGTAGTAGGGGAAGTTGGTCATAATGTATTCGTAGATGCCATTCAGCGTCAGCCTCTTCTCGGGGCTGTTCCGGATAGCCATCATGATGAGGGCGTTGTAGCTGTAGGCAGGTTTCTCGTGTTTCTTGTCCTTTTTCTCATCGTTCTTGGGCTTGGTGCAGTCGACCGGCTCCGTGCCGGTGACGTCCAGCTCGGAGTCGCTCAAGTCGGTCTCCGACGGGGTCGTATTAGAGGTCGTGGGCGACGGCGGTCGTTTGGCCGCGTGGTTCATCAGTATCGCGTTGATACTGAAATCTCCTTCGAACTTCACCATGTTGATTGCACTTAGAACACTTTAGATAAGGCGGCCCGCGCGTGCGTGAACACTGCGAGCGACGGACAGACTGACGTGCGCGGAGGCGGGAGAAGGTATTTATAGCGCGCGCGTCTCCATCCGCCCCGAAGCCCGCGGGAGGCCGGGCCCGCCAATGGGGCTGCGAGCTTTCTATACATAGGGTGACGCCTAAATCGCGCGTGGAGGGGACTTGGAGCATCAGCCGCGGTGCACTCGACGCGACAAATTCGTCCGCTCTCTCAATATACTTGCATGTTAGCTCAGAGGGCCGGTTAATCTCGCGCCCGACGTTTCAGAACGATAGACGCAAATGAGATTTTGTTTTGTTTATAGACGCTTCTATCGCGTCTTATCAAAGTTCCGCACAAACATTGATAAAAAAATAAAATGTTTAAATAGCGACAAATTGAAAAATTGAGCACTAGATACGGTTTCTGTTTAAGTTCGAATGTATATTCGACATAAAGCGTTTACTTAAGTCAATGTTTATCAGCTTCGATTGAGATAGAAAAAGCGGAAGCGTTTTTTCAAATTTCATATTTAGATATCACCTGAATAATACGACAAATATTATTTTAGCGGTACAATTGTGCCCAGCTAATAAAAAGGCTAATAAATTTTCAACAACATTTGAAATTAAACTGCAAAAAAATATTAAATAAACCTTACATAAGACGTTGGCTGCCTTAGCTTGTAATTATGTCACTAAATGATGTATTTATCTATATTTTTGCATATCATAGTTATCAATAGAGCTCTAAATATTATCTAGCCTAGAATGTAATGCTAAGACCGCTAGTACTAGACAGAGTAAAGACGGATTGTCTGTATTTTAAACGAGTAAGTATTCGCAGATTTAAAATAGATATGTCAATTAACGTAATTCACGTTTTATGCTGTTATAAGTATTTTATTATTATACAAAGTAACATGGCACAATTGCCATTTTGAGACTGACTTTATTTAATTTTAGGATTTAATATAGTTTAACAAATATCGTTGATAGTAATAATATAAAGTAGACATATGCATATTGCTTTACCTAAAACACAAACAGGAAGCGTCGGCTGTCTAGATATGATTCGAACGAGATAGTGAAAAGGTACTTAATACTTTTAAAAACATCCAAGATTTTCTATTACTGTAGAATTTATAATTGTAACTACTTTTGTCACAGTGACAAAGGAAAACGAATTACGTCAAAATACATATTCCAATGTAGGTAGTCTCACAGTTCTTAGTTCTTACACTTAAAACTAGAGTATGTTTGACATACATTGGAACGTAAGAATTTTTATAATAAAGTGTAAGAGAGGCTTCATGTTTTAAATATGACTTATTATTATTTACCAAAAAAGTCCAGTGAGACATGTTTAAGATGTATTCGCACCATCCTACGTATTAATTGATATCGACTGAACAAAAATATAAGCCCAAAAACAACTAGTAGGTACAATACCAAAATTTTAAATAAGTAAAATTGCTCAAATTATATACTTACCCAGTCAAACTTTGAAAAATTGTTGTCATCTGTTACCTGAAAACAAGAAATATTATTATTTGTAACGAATAGTGTATATCTACCTACATAACAAATAATAACAGACATTATAAGAAACACTAGCGCCTGCTCTTACTTTATTTTGCTTCCGTTTGTGGTCTTTTTTATTTTGATTGATGCTAATGAGATTGCAATTACACTATTGTATAGATTTTAACTGTAAATAATTAAGAAAACTAAAACTGCCAGCACATGCCCGGTATGACTAATGACATTAACTTATGTGAGTCATAGACTGCAGTCGTCGGAATAGCATTACCACAGACTACAATAAGCATTAGTATCACTAAGGACAGATTACGATCGTGTAGCCGATTAGAATGCATTGTCAGTTCGGCTACGGCACAGATCTACGATCGCTACGCGTCTACATTCGGCTACGCTTGACGGACGTCATGTGACTTATCTGACGTCATCGCAAATGTTATGTCATTGTCATCTTCCTAACTACATGTAAATTAGAAAATAGTGGATCAGGCATACTCATGGAAATACGAAATATTACTTTGCTCGGGAGTAAAATTATTTTGACGGTAGTGTGCTTGCGGGGACAGGATAACGTCAATTCGAGATGGCGGACTTTATATGGGGCCTCCAAATGTGCCTGATATTGTAATAACGATTACGTGTTGGTTCCTTAATTAAAATATTAACTGCATTTTACTAAGCTTCCCAAGCTTAGGGTGAATATATTTAGCAGAATTTTAAACCCCTTGTTTATCGCCGCTTTAATACAAGTTCCAAGATTATAAAAAATCACTAGTCCATTTACGTCATTGAAGAGACAATCACTAGATCATTTTGTATTTTGTTCGTATATATATTACTTTTTATCAATTTAAATTTTAAAATCAGAGATACTTATTATTATTTTTTAATTATATAGTAAACTTAAAGTTGTTTGAAACAGAAAATAAATATACAGTTAAAGTCTGCTTAGCATTGACAATCCTTTTCCAAAAAACTCGCAGATTATGTCATTGTCAACTATAAGTACCTAGTAGGTAGTAAGTAGTAAAGATAAATGTTTGTATGTTGTCATGTCGTGGAATTAGAGGGGATTTAGGCGCGAATTATCTTCGTTAGACGAAATAGATTAGATTTATATAGCATACCTATAGGTAGGTACTTAGGAACATACACGGAGGACATTAAATAGAAAATATATTTCTGAAAACAACCCTATTGTTTTTGAATTTGATTTAATTTAATATTTATATGCAGTAAATACCCAAATTAATGTTTTGTAGAGCGATGTTAAAATGTCACATCCATCGATTAGACCAGCCGTGTGACGGCAACCCGTGAGTCCGTGACCTCTCGCTCGCGGGCGATCAATCGAATTATTGTGTTCTTAATTCGATTATCACTACAATCGAATCGGACGGTCAGTAGTCTGTCAAATGAGAAGACGTTGTAATCATGATAAGAAATATTATCTATCGAAAATGTGTGTTATGGTTACTAAGAACTCTCTTAAAGTGCGCAAAAAACACGATTTTTATTCCAAGAAATCAAAACAGAACGTCGTTTCAATATCGGTTGTAAAATATGTTATTTTTATCTGTCTGCAATATTTTTGGTAACTAAGGCACACGAGACATTCATAGTAGCGTTGTATTCATTAAGATTCGGCCATCGAAAGTGGTCGATCCATAAATCCTTTTTTTTTTTTATTTTATTATGACAGAGGACGACAAACAAGGTTGAAATCGGCCTGTTGATTATTGCCTACTACTATTAGGGAAACGAACAAGCCAGGCAAAAAAAATATACTTATTACAAAACTAACAATTACTCACAGGTGGAAGATTCAATTGCTTTACATATGTCAATAATTGAATTTGTCCATATAACATATTTATAATAGAAGTAATTTCAATTTAAAACGAACTTTGGACCCGTTCTGTAAATGTATGTTCAGTTGTTTTCTGTCTTAGAAGTGTAAAGATGCATGAAAAATATTTATTTTAAATTTCAATTCAATATTTACTCGCTTAAGAACGAAAAAATGGAATTTTAAAGTCCGCAGAATTTTATAAAATAACATTATATGTACATACTGTCTGTAGTTTACGCGAGTAGTACACATTTAAATAAAACACTTTAACGGTTTATATTAAAATTAAATATAACTGGTGTCATCAGCAGTATACCTACTCTTGTCTATTTACCTATTTCTTACTTTATTTTACTACAATTGTACAATCTAATGTTATTTAAGAACAGAATTTTGGTCTTCGTCAAGGCGATAACTTTTATTTCTCAAACATTACAAAGTATAAAGTAAATATTAATTAAAGAGGAATCATTTGGCTCAATATAAAACTATTTGCCACTATACTCAATGTCATTTCTTATTTTTATGTGTATATTCTAGTTACGACTATTGACTTAAGTTATAAATCAGTTTTTTTGAAAAGAAGAAGTAGTTATGAAAGATAAGATTACAGTCGCTATTAAACAATTGACACCGGAATTAATTGAGTGCACGGAGCGATGCCGTGAGTCGTTCATAGACGGCTTCCCGACCCGACAATTCTGCTGCGATGTTTGTGACCCGCACCTTAAGTAAGGTTAAGTAATTTACTTGCATGCGGTCCGGTGATGTAGTGATGTGTCGATATGATTGTCGAGAGACATTTTATGTGACTCAATAAGATATTTATTTATTAATTAGATAAGAGATTAAAGTGCTCTTTGATTTGTCGACAATTTTTAAGATTACTAACGAGTTAATACCATATTAGCAATATGTAATGCCATACTAATTAATAAAATAACAGATTATACATGTTTATTGCTAAATAAATACTAAGTGACGAAAAACGTTTAATTACTGTTTGTTAAAACATGAAACCAAAAGAAATGCTCTCGGTGCGTCCCTACGCAGAAATGAATATGGAATTGAATTAGCGCTGGGGTCGCGCGTGGGCGATGTCACTCTGATGTACGGACTCGGCTCATAGCTCGGTACTACGAGTCGTCGATTTATAAAAGGTCTCACCCGCTATTGTAACCAAGAAATACCCCAGCCACATACCTAACGTCTACAAGATGTGCTGTCGTCCTATTTTTGCTTTGGATATTCGGAAATCCAAAGACTGAAACCGAAACGCAATTAAACTTCACGGCTTTTTTCATGTGTGGACGGTGGTTCGCGACCCGGACGGAATTCGATATTCCTACAACCATTTAATGTCCGGTTTCCCATACAAAGTCCAGTTATCTGTTTCAGAAAAATTATAAATTGAAAAATTAAAAACTTATTGGATAAGGATCGAATTCACGACTCGCTGATTGTCCGTAAAACTGAAATTAAAATGTTTTTAAATGTTTTTAAAAAGTAACGAAATTGTTGTTTACCCTAGCGAATATTGATTTATTTGTGTGTGTGTGTGAAATCCCGTTTCCCCCTCGTGGGAAATGGGGCGAACACATTTCTGTGTCCGTTTCACTGATCCGTTTTTTTTTAAATGGGCAAGTAGTTGATCAGACTTCTGTGCCCTGCCCAACAGAAACAATTTTGTTTCCCTGGGATTGGAACCTAAGAGAACCTAAGAGCTCTCGCACTTAACGCAATGCTAGGCAATACGTTTAACCTATTAGCTACAGAGGCGAGTAATTTATTTGTACACTTCAAAAATAATCTTATCTTCTAAAATATTCAATAAGCAGCAAAATGCAGTTAATACCGGGGTTTATCCTAATACCCTTATACTAAAACACGTTTTTCAAGCTATATAGGTAAACGTCGCGCATTTCTTTCGAGATAGTATCGAGAATCAGTGGTAAAATACGATCTGATTAACGCAATGGCCGTGGTCAAACGGAGCGAGCGAGATGTGTTCGTGTTATTAATCGCTGGAAGTCGCAATTACCCCTTCCTTATTCTTAATACATCCTTTCTTGCTTGTAAAGTTTCGTAGTCCAGTAGATGCTAGATCTAAAAAGACGAGTAGACTTGATACTTAAAAAAAAACAACCTATGATTTGTTATGTTGGGATACTGCTTCCGCGACCACGACAGCTGAAAAGCATGCGCAACGTCGTAGTTAAATTAAATTTAGCGATTAAACTGGTAAGAGCGTTTTGTTGAAATGTGTTCCTACTACTCGCGTTAATACCAAACAATACTTAGACTGTATCCTACATACATTTTATCTACATTGTTATAATTTTAACTATTGATTATTGTTATTAGCTGTAAGTACTTATTTGTACGCTCTACTTTCGTTTTGTTCAGGAGTCTGGCGTTTTACAACCTATAACCGCACCACAACGAAACAGGTCTTCTTTTCAGACCTCGTGGAGTCCATTCTAACATGCGTTTGGTTAATCTTGCGTCTCTAAGCCAAGTCTTAAGAAAAAGCAAAGTCCTCCTTTCAGCTGTAGGTATTGTCGTTCATGTGCGTACCTAGTTGAATAAATGACCTTGACGTTCAGTTTAATACAATTAAATCTATCAAATGGGTATCAAACTAGGTATCAAACTCGCAGCGAGTTCACTGTATCTGATATATGTCGTCTGAATAGGTTGGATATTAATTTTTGAGTTATGATAAGGATTTCTGTAATTAGATTGATACGGCACTGTGCACTTAATTATTTTAGTTATTTTTATTGTTGAACATAAATTACGCCTGTACCCGATATAAGTTATAGTTTAGATTTGTAAAGCAAACATCTAATATGACATAAATATTCGATTAGAGGAGGGTCGACCGTGGGAGACGGCAGGTGCCAATTCTCTACTCGTAAGAAATGCTCAAATTATACTAATTTGTGATGGCAAGGGCATACACTTTTTAATTTTTCGAAAAATATATATACTAGTCGTAGGTATACACGCTAAAGGCGTTTCTATGTCCTTAATAAAACAAAGCAAATAATGGGTTTTATGAATGTTATTAATATAAAAGCAAGGCACCTTTTCTGCTTCAATTTCATTTCAGAAAAAGTAAATGAGTCTTAAGTCCCCTGCTTGAAAAAATGTGTCATATTTTATCAAATCGATTTCTTGAATCAGTCTACTATTGAAGCCTTTATGTACTGAGTCTCTCACTCCTTACGTAAAGAGAGAGAAATCAGTGCTGTTTCAAGCCATTTGGTGCATGGGAACTTGTCGCTTTGATACTGTCTCCGCATGACTTTTTTCTTTAAGACTCACTCGATTATTTATCGGAGTGTCAACGCGACGTGACGTCTCGACTCTTCTTAACAAGTCGATGCGCAAACATAGGAAATGGAAGTACTGCGCATACATTATGTTGCAGAATGTTCTTAATTCACGCTTGATTAGCAAATAAGTGACTTAATTTTCACACGAGAATCTTGTAGAAAACGCTTAGAAGAAATAAAACATCCGTTCATTTGATTTACAAATAAACAGATAGAAATCAAGTTTCTCCGTTATAATCAACCTTGACTTATACAATGAATTCCTAAAAGCCAGTTTAATATTTCACAGCGAACTATAATGTTTTGATCATTAAAAATGCTATCGAAATCGTCGGAAAAGTGGATAATAGCGATCTAAATATTATGTGCCTTATGGAGCGACTCGAACGGTTTGTGTGATTCCCACCCCAATTACAGCAGTAATAACCGCTTGCTCCTCACTTAATCGTTTGCATATTGGAGTACGGGGGGACGGCTCAGTGTTTATACTCGACTGCGTAAATGATGACTTTTCCGCGACGAAACCGCTCACTTTCATCGTAGAAGTCCATTTGCAGACAAATACAATTTATGAGCACTAATTAACTTAATAGCTGGATATAGAATTATTTCGATGTTATTTCCCTATTAAAAATCTCCAAAGGCGATTAGAGATTTTTTTATTTGGATTTACGACTTTAAAATCTTGGTCGAGATCAGGTGGTTTATTAATAATCGTTTATAATATGTTAAATATGTCATTTTATTAAATTCAAATTAAAACAATTTTCAGAACTAGGACGGCACAGGAAGCCCTGAGAAGTCCGTCAGCTGCGGAACAACGCCCGCCGATCGAGCGAAACTGTTTTAATGTTGTGGTCGCCCAGTTCACTACATTATCCTTATAATTTATGCACGCCTAGTACCGGCGATTCATAATTGCCCGTTATTAATGAGCCTTTTATTTTTTACCAATTTTTTCTTATATATAGGCATTGAAAACTTAAGAAGGAAGATAGAAAACACATTAGGTATGTTGCTTATAAACTTATATTGACAATATTTTAAACATATATCAATTGCTTTCATTGATTTCTATCATTCTCTATCAATAAGACGGAAGATAAGACAATTGTAGGCATCTTGTGAAGATAAGGTTAGATAAAGATACTATATATAATTAAAAGAGAGAATTGTCGACCCTGTAGTGAATTCAATAGCTAATCAAAAATATTCGATGTACCATTTAGGAGTAGGTATTAGGTAGTCTCACGATCGCATCGCTCACCTAACATTTAACTTATTAATATTTATTCAGGGAATCGGCCAACATGTCGACGACAAACAAAACCGCTCTTGTCTTTCATAGGCTTCAGTCACACTGAACTCTTTTAACTTTTTATCTATTTGGCATTAATAAAGAAAGTTTAGAGACGAGGATTGTATGAGGCTTTGGCGGCCATTTTGCTAACCCACTTGGGTTTTTCGTTCCTAGACTAACGAGGAATGGCCGAGATCTACTTATGATTCAATCCTATCGAGATAGCGAAACGTCGGGAACTATTTCTCAATTTCGCCTGCTGAGCTGTTTCTCAGAAGTGAAGTCTAAGTATCTTTATAACATATTTGCTCGTAAAGTGGTTGTAATTACACTAATTTCAATATCGTAATAACAGTAATATCGCCTCGGCTGTAATTTTCAACTTACCGCATTTATGTCATAATGTACTATTAAAGCATATTGCTTGGACGGTGTATACAGTTTTCCACGATTAAGAAAATAATTTTAAAATTATAATTTTTTCGTCAATCAGATTATCGATTACACCTTATCGATAAACTTGGTTTTAGCACGAGCAACGCCACGGTCGAGGGCCAGCTTATTGAATATATACTATGCACCATCTTTGGAATAATTCTGTAAAAATATTATGGCGTAATGCCGTTATAGGCGGTACAACATTGATATCAGCGGCCTGTGGTGCGTCGATCGGGAATATAATATTGATGGCGTAATGACAGGGATCGCGGTGCCGGCTTATGTCATTACGGCAGTCTATCATTACGCTAATTCATATTCATCGCAGTGTCTTCTTTTCATAAAATATTCCAACATTCGCTACAGTATTACGTGTCGGTTAGGCGGCATATACGTTTAAAATTAAATATTTATTCACTCATGTATGCAAGTACTTCGTAGCAATTAAATCTTAAGCCGCTCTATAAGTATTTACATTTTCAACGGCGCAGAACGTTCGAGAAGAACTGATAAAGATGTTTCCGCAATTGTTTCTATTGTCTAGGTTAATTTTGTCAAAGTTTGGATAATATAGCAATAATTTATATTACTCGTATTTGCCATTTCTTCAAACGTATTCACCTAGCGGTGGTTCACCATATAGGGAGTAGAGTAGTAAGCTAATCTTTGACACAATTGGCAAGTAAGAAAATTCATAAATAATACTTTGACGCAAAATTGTCTATTGTGGCTCATTCATTCTGTTACCACGTTAAATTAATTTTAAAACCAAAAACATTTCCTATCGAGATTAGGTTATCTATGTTTGTATAGAAATCGTAGTTATTTTTAAAATCAAATATTTCATAACATTATGCAATTTAAAAATGCTTCTATTTATCTGTAAAGATATATCATATCTTTATAAATGTAATAGGTATGAACAAAGATTCAGTTTCCCACTGTTGCACACTGTTGTGAAATCATGATGACTAGATGAAGGTACCTATTTTGTGTTATGTCATAAATGTTAAAACGCATAAAAAAAAAAACAAAAAAAAAGTTTCTGTGTAAAAAACGCCACTTTTCTTTTGGTATTAATAGTAATATTTTAACGATGAAGATATAATTAATTTATACAATTTAAACAAATATATTTACTGCTGAAAAATATATTGTGCCAAAGAGGAGCTCTTCGACATTTTTCCTCTTTTTTTATGTCTAATGGATTACTATCGCAAGTTTTTGAAGAAAAAATGGAGCAATATTGCTAATAAAGTGACTCATGACGCTATATCTTAAACATTAGAGGCATGGTGCAGCACTGCAATGTACAAGGTCAAATTTCGATATGCACATTTTTTATGATAGAGAAGGACAGACGAGCACCCCCCCCCCCATCATCTTGGTGGGTGAAATACCCCAATTTCAATATTCCTACCAGTGACGAAGAAGACAGAGATATTTACTTCCTAGGAGCATACCTACTACACATTTTCAACGCAGCAAAAGCCAGTCTTACGAAATAACATTCTCTTTATATTTCACTTGATATTCAATCTACATATTGTTATTATATCTGTATTCAATCAAACAGATAACTAAATACATATTAAGCAACAAAAACCACAAGATCATATTACATGCACGTGAATACCAAAACAAATGATGATTGGCAGATTTGAATAGCACCGTATAAACTATGAGCTGCAAATTTCCACCTTACTTCGTTACAAATAAAGGCGTATTTGCGCCGTTTTATTTTTATACTCGCTCTGATCGTTGCTCTCTGTACATCAGTAGCAGTACGCGCGAGAAATGTCAGATTGATCTAGGCAAAATGACAGCTAGTTAGAAATTTAAGTTCGTAGGAATAGAGCGCTTATTGAGAAGAACGAAAAGCACAAGTTGTCTGGTTCGCTTATTTGTTTATTTGTGGTCAAACTTGGTGCTTTGGTTAACACCGCGAGCGGTAGGAGGTCGACTGTAGGGTCACAATCTTTTAGAAAAAATATTGGTACATACGAATCACACGTATGACTTTTATTTTTGCTTATCAGTGCTGAATAGTTTACGTGTTCATAGATACATATTATTGCCTGGAAACAAAGCTGCCTGAATTAAAAATCTATTTAGATTGAACCAGCGTCTACATCGTGCTGTTTCTTAACCAGTCATGCTACGGCCTCCCGTGTCGTCCTCGAGTTATTTCAACCTTAACCTTCATGTTTTTCAATCTAAACGGTAATGTGAAATATACGTTTTAAAATAAAAGTACATATTGTAATATCGTATATCACAAAACATATACATATGTTGTTTTGATATATACATTTTTACAAATGGACAAAGTCCTAAAAATTTAGTTTTCAAGGTCACCCCGGGTCAGGTGTCAAATCTCACGAATCGGTATTGTACCGCGATCTGCCACCGATCCAACTCATGTCTTACAGCTAAGATTAGAGCTATCTCTATTTTATTACAATTCGGTATATGTATTATGAATGTGAAGATGTGAATTGAAATCTCATAAATCTCTTTCTCCGACCATTGCATAACACATAGGTATCGAAATATTGAAAACATCTGTTAATAAAAGTTTGATAGGCCCATAACTGCTCGATCGCATGCCCCCTTGGGATCGGCTGGTGGACAAAAAGTGCTTTAAAAATAATCACATCCATTATACAACGGTTGCACAACAAGCCATATTACACGTCATTAAAAACTTTCAGATCGTATCTGGAATCAAAGCACAGACAAGAATCGAGCGCCTATTAGGGTGACGGCAAAAAAGACAACGCCAGGCCTTCTCGCACAATGACGAAAACATTTGACAAATAGGCCTTCTTGCGAAATATGAGCCCGCCCGATAAACATCGACAAACATATTATTTTTCACTCAACTAAACATTGGCCGGTGCGATACTATCTCTGCAGAGTGATGGATTATTCATGAACAAATTTAACAATATTTATTTATAATAGGATTTGGAGTGACTGCTTTAGAATTTGCAGAAGTTATGAAATAGGAAACTTGTCTTTGCTACATTTTATGTTCAAAATAGCTAAATTGTTGGCTCTGTCACATTTAAATGTTATTTAAAGAAGAAAGTTTCTATAGAAAACATATTCTCATTCAAATATATCTACCGGTATGCTCTATTTTAATTACATTTTTTTGAAAAAAATATGCATAAGAGCCCATAAACGCCGTAAACCGGACACTCCGCAAGGAATAATACATCCATTTCCCATACTGGCAATGGGATTATCTATTATTTGGTCACCCCAATAGATGCAATCGCCGAAATATGATCGTTTTATTATAACGATATTTGCTAGTTGGCAGATAAGACCCGAATGCTCGGATTTTGTTACGAGGTGGTTTGTTTTGTATCTGATAACGCCTTACAATATTTCTAACAATGTATCTAAATAATGGGCAGTTCGAAATCTTATTTATAGTATAAATATATATCATCTTCGGTTAAATAGAATATGGAAGTACTGGAATCGTTCATTTATTTTGTTAATTACTTATTTTTCTGATATGGAGTCTTTTAGGAGTATCTAATTTTTAAATCTATAGACATACTTAAAATTTACAGAATGAAAAGGTTGCGAGCGTTGTGTCTATATGCTAAATTTTCTTAGATTTGTGAAATTCAACCATAAGTATTTGTTTAGGTATGCAGAAATATAAAATGAGTATCAGATAGATATGAATTTTAACATTGTCCAACTAAGGTCGTCTCTGCATCGCGTTCTCGTTAACTATATTGCATCTACAGCTAAGGGCGACGATGACCGACGCTTTCCTTCGAGGTGGAGCCATGTGGAGCTAAAGCCCCTTCCGACAAATATAATTAAAATAATTGCTTCGGCGTCGCGACGGCACAAAACTCACTATAACTGCTAACACAATAGACTATTTGCATAACAGACACACAATAATGGCCGCGATCCGTTACACGCTCGTTCCTCTAATGGAGAAAATTATTTTTGATTTGACGATAGTGGGCTTTTGTTTGCTCGGCAAATAGCCGGGCGATTACGTGTGGTCGATTCCGCCGTGAGGGCTGCCGTAGAACTAGTTTCGCTTTGTTTTATAAGAGTTTCCAACGTTGGAAAATCAAGAAGGTCAAAAAAGTAGGTAGTGATCAAAAT